AAAGCACAAGGAAGAATTCAAGATACTAAAGAGCTGAACAGAAGATTCCAAAAGGCTGCTCGGAATGACAAAGCAAAATACTACAATGAAATGTGCTAGAGTCGGAAAATCAAAAGAGCCGAACTCGCTCAGCATTTCTTAAGCTCAAGGAGCTGAGGAACAAGTTCAAACCTAGAGTTGCTGTAATCAAGGATGCTTCAACAGTTAGAAATAAAAAAAAAAACACAACAAAAACTTCACAACTGGCCTAATGGGCAGTATCTTGCTCTCCCACACTTATTCATCATCCAGCTCTCAGATGATCACAATAATTAAGAAGATCATGGCCTGGATCATGTGGTCAGTCTTTAGACTGATACTACTGCTCTCTGGCACTCCAGATAGGTCCTTTACAGAAGATTTTTTATTAGTAAGGTTTTTTTTTATTTGTAAGGAAAGTGAAGCCTAGAAAAGTTAAGAGAGAAGTCTGAACTTCAACAGGTAGTAATAAGGAGTGATGTCAACCACAGTCACAGGCAGCCAGGTTTCAGAACCCCCACTCTACACCATGATAGAATAGATTTCCTCAGGAAGTTAATCAGATAATTTTATCTGGCTGAATTTCTCTATGTGAATACAGCTCATATGTTATCCCCTGTGGTATGAAATTTCCAAGAATATCTTGGCTGTAGGTAAAAATCATAAACTCAACACTGAATCTACATAAAAGATTCTGACAGAGAAAGCGGATATTTTTAAAGTGGCTTGTAAGCAGGTCATACAGCCCCAAGCTAAACAAATTCTATGGTTTCAGATGAAAATAAAATACATGCCCAGAACAGGATATCTCTTTCCCATGACAAGAGCTAAAAAGAACTAGCACATACTGGAAGGCTTTCATTGGACGGTATCAGACTTTCCTGAGTGACAACCCTTCTGAAAGTACAATCTGGAAAACATACTATTAAACTATATAACTACATGCCAAAGTCAGGAAAGAAAAACATATTCCATAAAGTGAAATAATACAAAATTAGTTTTATTCATCCACCATGGTAGGCTGATACCTAAAGTAAACTAATTCACTATCACTAAGTAGCCTTCCACACATGTGGACCTCTCATTGTGTTTCTGAGGCTGCAAACCTTAAGGAGAGGAGACTATTTACATGTATTTTTTTTCTCCAAGGAAACAGGGCAGAGTCGAACTACCAGAAAAATTCAGCCTTCAGCCTTTCGGAAAGCAGGACAACAGATGTGTTAGGATCTCTGTATAAAGGTTGTTAAGCAAGACTAACTTTGGTAAAAAAACACATTTACCAAAAAGCTTTGAAAAGAGATGAGGTTTCTTACTATAGAGTAAGAAAATATCAATGTTCTCCCCCTTCCCATATATTCCTCCCTTTACCTTACAAACATACTCATACTCACTATTCTTCAGATAACTGTTCTTATCTTCTATTTACGAGTAACACTGCCCTCTATCCAAGATAAGGCTTCCAGGGAAACCTCCCTAAATTCTTTATTATGGCATTCCTTAGCTCAATACCTTGAAGAGTTCCTGTTACACAAATTGAAAAGTTCAAATAAATCAGGTTATTATTTCATTCCCTTTCTAATGTGCGTTCTTCCTACATATAAAACTTTATTTGCAATTATATATACTTTGTAAACTATTTACCTTCCACCTGTCTTTCTGACTCCATTAATTTTGAAGCTTAACATCAAGAAAACAAACATTCTCATCACTGGGCCAATTGGCAGCATCATGATAGATGGTGAAGATGGTTGACAGCTTCAGTTTGCTTGGCTCTACAATCAACACTCTTGGTACCAGCAACCAGGAAATGAAAAGATGAATTGCATTGGGAAAATCGGCTGTCAGAGATCTCTCCAAAATACTGAAGAGCAACAAGCTTGGCTCCTCAGTCTACACTCTTGGTACCAGCAGCCAGGACATCAAGAGATGAATTGCACTGGGAAACTCAGCTATCAGGGACCTCTCCATAGTACTGAAGAGCAACAACGTCAGGCTGAAGACTAAGTGTGCCTGATCTGGAACATAATCTTCACAATTCTGTGTTATGTGTGAGAGAGCTGGATAGTGACTAGGGATGATAGAAAGAGAACTGATGCCTTTGAGCTGTGGTGCTGGAGAAGAGTATTGACTATACTATGGACTGCTAGGAGAACAAACAGGTTCATCCTGGAGAGGGTCAAACCAGGCTGCTCCTTGGAGACCAGGATTCTGAAGCTTCATCTGATATACTCTGGGCTGTTGCAAGGAGGGGCCAGTTCTTGGAGAGGGACAACATGTTTGGGAGGGTGGAGGGAGACCCTCGATGAGATGGATCGATTCAGTGATTCGGGTAATGGGTGTAGGTGTGTTGGAGACCATGAGGTTGGCAGAGGATAGAGCAGATTTTAGGGCTCTTGTACATGGGGTCCCTATGGGTCATAGGCAAGTTGACGGCACATAACAAGAACAAGAACAAGAACAAGATCAAGAACAAGAACAACATACAATATTTTATATGGGTAGCTAAGTAATCTGTTAGGGATATAATTTGTTGCTCCAAAGATTCTGATGTGAGTATAATTCCTACTGTTAATAGGTACCAAAAAAAAAAAAAATAGCAACCCTATCAACAAGAGATCTAAACTTGTACCATTCTCAGAATCTCCGATATGCTCAATCTATTGTACTAGTCACTGTATCAATTCATCTCACACAAAATCTTCCTCTTCTTGCTGACCTTCTTTACCAAGCATGATTTCCCCTCTCAAGGACTGACAACTCTTGACAATTTGTCAAAATATGTGAGATAAAATCTCACCATCCTTGCTTCTAAGGAACTTGGAATTTGCACTTCCTCCAAGGCTGATTTCTTTGTTCTATTGTTAGTCCATAGTATATGCAATGCTCTTCATCAAAAACACAATTCAAAAGCATCAGTTCTTGGTTCTCTTTATTCACTGTGTAATTTTCACAAGCACATGAGACAAATGAAAATTACTATGGCATGGTTCAAGAACACCTTCATCTTCAATGTGACATGCTTGTTTTTTTTTTTAAAGTATTTTATTAATTTTAATGAACATTTATAGAGATTTTGGATTTTCATTCATTCATTGTTGCACTTTTTTCTTTACCTTCCTCCCCCCAGTTTGCTCCTCTCTTTGAAAAGCAAAAGATAAACTTCTTCATTGGTATATAACCCCCCCGACCCTGACCCTTCCCCCTCCGTCCCCGCACCCCAAATGCACTCAACTATGGAACCTTAATTCTGGATTCTGATGATAATCATAATATGCTATCATATATCACTTTTAAACTATTCTCACCCTCATCTGTTTCAATTCAGTATAATCTATCGAGTTTTTCTCAGTCTTACCCTAACCCGATGTCAGTCACTTTGTACAACAGTGCCACCATGCAGTATTTGTCCTTTTGTGACTGAGATATTTCACTCAGCATAATGTCCTCCAGGGTCACCCATTTTGAATAATATTGCATGAGTTCCTTGTTTTTCAATGCAGCATAGTATTCCATTCTGTCAATATACCACAGCTTCTCTATCCATTCGTTTGTTGATGGGCTCTTAGGTTGTTTCCAACTCCTAGCTATTGTGAACAAAGCCACGATGAACATGGGTGTGCATATATCTGCTTGGATGTCAGTTTGGTCTCTTTAGGGTATATTTCCAGTAGTGGAATTGCTGGGTCAAATGGTATCTCTATTTGCAATTTTTTGAGAAACGGCCACACCATTTTCCACAGTGGTTGCACCATTTTACACTACCACCACCAGTGAATAAGGATTCCAGTTCCTCCACAACTGCGCCAGCATTTGTTGCTTGCTGTTCTGTTATATTTTGCTGTTCTTAACTAGGGTGAGATGATATCTCATAGCTGTTTTGATTTGCGTCTCTCTAGAGCTACGGATTTTGAACATTTCTTCATGTGCTTGTTGGCCATCTGAATGTCTTCTTTCGTGAAGTGTCTGTTCATATCCTGTGCCCATTTTTCAACTGGATTATTTACCTTTATCTTGCTGTGGTTCTAAAGTATTTTATAAATTCTAGTTATAGGTCCCTTATCTGACATGTCATTACCAAATACTTTTTCCCAGTCTGTGGCTTCCCCTTTAACCCTTTTGGAGAAGTTTTTGGATGTGCATAGGGATTTGATTCTTAGAAGGTCTCATTCATCTGTTTTACCTTCTCCTGGTTGTAGATTTTTTCATCATTTTATACTTCCACCAGCAGAGAATACGGGTTCCAGTCTCTCCACACCCTTGCCAAATAGTCATAGTTTTAAAAAAATAGTCATGAATACTTAACAACTTTATGGCCTCTTAAAAATATTATTATTAAATATATCCATGGTATTCCTATTAATGTATTAATTGTAAGTTCTATTTCAATATAATTTCAAGGTAATATGATTCAGTAGAGATTAAACAGGTTTTTAGAAAGTATTTCCATGTTCATACTTAGACCAAATTTTATTATATTCCTCTCAGACTAATTTATACAGTTAAAATTACTGACAAGTTTAAGCTTCTATTAATTTTTCCTCTTAATAGGAAGCTATTACAATTTTTTTTTTAGTTTTCAGAAAAGAAAATGTATCTTTTATTTATGCTTTTATCATTTGAAAGGCTTTCTTTTCATGACATTTTATAATACTTGGTTTGATGATACTTTATTTTTCAGGTATCTTAAGGAAACTACCAACAAAAAAATATGTTAGTACTATTTATGTGTAGCTTTTAATCAAAGAAATGTCCCCTACTTGTATTTTTAATTAAAAAAAGGTATTTTATTATTATTTGGTAAACTCAAAATTGAAATTCTTTAACAAACCATATATTATTATAAAATATTACTAAATATAAATGAAGTATTTTCTGTTTATATTCAAACTCAGAATTCCAAGTTATTGTCACTGAGTCAGAATCAACTCCTAGCTGGTCCTCCAGGAGATTTCATAAGCTGAATCTCCTGAGAAGAGACTGCCTATCTTCCTCCCGTGGAGTAGCCTCTGGATGCTTTTTCCAGTCTCACAGTCAGAGAGGTATAATAATGTGGTTAACTTCATGTCAATGAGATTATTCTGCAATTTTTACATCTTATTCATAAAGTTATTAGACATTCATTTTCCAGTCTCTTTCTCCCTTCCCCACTCATCTTCCATTTA